GGGCACAGTCCAACAAGAAGAGATAACAATTTTAAATATATATGCACCCAACTTAGGTGCACCGAGATTCATAAAGCAAACCTTACTGGAGCTAAACAAATTGATTAATAGCAACTCCATAATCGCCGGAGATTTCAATACCCCACTGACGGCACAAGACAGATCCTCGTAACAGAAAATTAATAAAGAAATAATGGACGTAAACAAAAAGAACAATTGGATCTGACAGACATCTACAGAACATTCTACCCAAAATACTGTAATACCAGTTTCTGGAGAATATATCTGGTGCTTGTTTTTCCATTCTTGGGATCTTCATAGTAGTATGGGTTCAGCTCTAACCAGGAAAATATAAGATGTGCTATATTCACATTGTTTCTTAGAGCTGAATGTACTCCATGGTATACATATACACATTTTATTAATTCCATTCTTTGATTGATGGGCACTTGGGCTGTTTCCACGCCTTGCAATTATGAATTGTGCTGCTATAAACATTCGAGTGCAGGTGTCTTTTTTTGTAGAGTGTCACGGATCATTTGGGTAGATGCCCAGCAATGGATGCTGGATCAAATGGTAGATTCACTTGTATCCCTTTAAGGTATCTCCATATTGCTTTTCCACAGAGGTGAACTAGTTTGCAGCCCAGCCAGTGAGGTGAGTTTCCTCTCTCTCCGCAACCACGCAGCATTTATTTGTTTGGAGATTTTTTTGATAAAGGCCATTCTCACTGGGGTAATGATTCTCATTGTGGTTTTGATTTGCATTTCCTGATGATTAGAGATGTTGAGCATTTCTTCATATGTTTGTTGGCCATTTCTTCTGTCTTCTTTAGAAAAATTTCTGTTCAAGTCCTTTGCCCACTTTTAATGGGGTTATTTGATTTTTCTTCTAATTTTCGTGAGTTCTAAGTATATTCTAGTTATCAGTCCTTATCGGATGCATAGGATGCAAATTTTTCTCGCATTCTGTACGGTTGGTCTGCTTTACTTTCAACTGGTATTCTTTGGCTGTGCGAAGGCTTTGTAGTTGATCATGTCCATTTTATTTATTTTGTTGCTGTGTGTTGCCATTTTGGCTTCTTCATAAACTTTGCGCCAGGCCGATGTCTAGAAGAGGTGTTTCAACGTTTTTCCTCTAGAGTTTCTAATAGTTTCATATCCTAAGGTTTAAGTCTTTTATCCAGCGTAGTTGTTTTGTTTTGGAGGTGAAAGGTGTGGTCCTGTTTTTAGCTTCTACAGTGGCTATCCAGTTTTCAAGCCACCATTTATTGAAGAGGATCTTTCCACCGTATGTTTTGTTGCTTTGTCAAAGATGAGATGGCTATAGAGGATGGTTTATATCAGGATTATCACATCTGTTCCATGGGTCAATATTCCTGTTTTTTGCCATGACCACTATGTTTAATGTACTAAGCTTTTAGTATAGTTTGGATATGGCATATTAATGCCTCCCATTTGTTTTGTTGCCTAGAATGCACTTGATATTCGGGGTTTTCTTTGGATCTTGCGAAGCGTAAAATTATATTTTCTAATATCTGTGAAGAATGCTTGAGATTTAATAGTATTCATTGAATTGTGATCAGTTTTGGTATATAGACATTTTGATGATATTGAGTTGCCGACCACGACATGGTATGGATTCCATCTGTTAATCCTTGCATTCCTTTTCCCAGTGTTCATAGTCTCCCTGCAGAGGTCTTTTACCTCTTGGTTAAATATATTCCTAGTCTTTAATTTTTTGTTTGCTATTGTAAGGAATTGGTCTTGGATTTGGTTCTAGATGAGATTGTTTGTGGTATATTGAATGCCTCTGATTTTGGTATATTGATTTTGATCCTGGACTTACTAAAATTCATTGTCAGTTCCAGGAGTCTTGGTTGATCCTGTTTTAGGATACAATTCCTTGACTCTGTTCAGAGTATTGGCTATAACGGCTAGACAGGAGTTGTCTCGTCTTGTCGTAGCGCTTCGTGGTGGGAATTGTCGTTGTCTGGCGCATAAGTTTGGAGATGGTTCTGTTCTTTATTATTCCTTCGGCATTGTTTCTAGGGCTGTGAACAGGGTGGTGGTGTGATGTGGCGGAGGTTCTCCTGAGTCTGTTTGGGCATCGTCTCTTTGGAGGGTTGTCTGGATGCTTT